CAGGCAATTCTCCTGCCTCAGCCTCCTGAGTAGCTGGGATTACAGGCACGCACCACCATGCCCAGCTAATTTTTTGTATTTTTAGTAGAGACAGGGTTTCACCATGTTGACCAAGATGGTCTCGATCTCTTGACCTAGTGATCCACCCGCCTTGGCCTCCCAAAGTGCTGGGATTACAGGCTTGAGCCACCGCGCCCGGCCTTAGTTTGTCTTATTCTACTGGATTTTAAACTCTGAGGGCAAGGACTTTGTTTTATTAATAAGCTGTGTTCATTCTAGTGCCTAAAACAGCATCTGGTTGATAGCTGCTGTTCAACAAATATTTGATTTTTGATGAATAAATTAAGGTATATGAATGCAATTTAATGCCCTTTTTTAGGGGGCATCTATTTGATTATTTTAACAAGTTAACTGCCTTTTGTAGGGAACGTATTTTGTTTTGGCAGGGCCTCAGTATTGATCTTTTGTTGCCAAAAGCACCTAAAATCTTACTCTTCTTTTTTGTTAAGCTATATGTGAAACAGAGCCTGAACAGCCTGTTCGACATTACCCATTATGGGTAAAAGTAGAAGGTGAAGTAGACCCAGAACCAGTTTATATCCCCACGCCTTCTGTCATTGAGCCTATGAAACCATTGTTATTGCCTCAACCAGAAGTTTTATCTACTACTGTGAAGGGCAAACTGGTCACTGGAATTAAAGCTGCACGGTCATATACTCCCAAACCCAATCCTGTGGTAAGTCTGGAATTTAATCTTTTATTACAAGTTACCAAAGTCATATGTAAAGATGATGTGTTTCAACCAGATTTTTGGTTATTTTGTGAATCATTTTGCTTTCAGTAATATATTTATAAGTCATCTTCATTTCTTTCTATTTTAATCAGTTTAGTGCTGGCACTTTTAAAATGTCTTAAAAGTAGAAATGAATAGTAGTAATTTAAAAAAATAGCCATTTTCTCTTCAAGATCATTGATGGGCTTTTTTATATGGCTTGAAAAAATTTTTTAAAGATATTACTCCTATATTGTAGAATATTAATAAGATATGCAGTATTATGAGTTGAAAAACATTAAGAAAAAAACTTTTAAAAGCAAATTTTAAAATGCACAACAATATCAATAAAGTTTAAGATTTAAAGTAACCGTTTATATAATGTGACTGTTAAAACTTGTAGGTAGAAGTAGGAAGTTATTGGCTGGGCGCAGTGGCTCACACCTGTAGCACTTTGGGAGGTCCAGGCAGGTGGATCAAGAGGTTAGGAGTTCAAGACCAGCCTTGCCAACATAGTGAAACCCCATCTCTACTAAAAAATTAGCTGGGCATGGTAGCACATGCCTGCAGTCCCAGCTACTCGGGAGTCTGAAGCAGGAGAATCGCTTGAACCTGGGAGTTGGAGGTTGCAGTGAGCCGAGATAATGCCACTGTACTCCGGCCTGGGCAACAGAGTGAGACTTAGACTAGAAAAAATAAAGATAGGAAGTTATTCATTGTGTTAATGGCTTATGCAAGTCTTATTATCAAATTCATGTGTCTTCCTGGTCCATTAGATTGAAGAAAAGTTCTATACTACGATGCTACTGAGTGTGTTTTCTGTAGCAGAGCTGTTATAGTATAAAACTGTTTCCGGTCTGTGATGAAATACGTATTGTTGACCCTTAAAAAAGGCAAGAGTAGCTGGGCATGGTGGGTCACACTTGTAATTCCAGCACTTTGGTAGGCTGAGGCCAGTGGGTCACCTGAGGTTGGGAGTTTGAGACCAGCCTGGCCAACATGGTGAAACCCTGTCTCTACTAAAAATACAAAAAGTTAGTCAGGGATGGTGGCTCATACCTGTAATCCCAGCTACTAGGGAGGCTGAGGCAGGAAAATTGCTTGATCCTGGAAGGCGGAGGTTGCCATGAGCTGAGATTGTGCCACTGCACTTCAGCCTGGGTGACAGAACAAGACTCATTCTAGAAAGAAAGAGGGGGGGGGAGGGGGAGGGAGGGAGAGAGGGAAGGGAAGGAAGGGAAAGAAAAGAAAAGAAAAAGAAAGAAAGAAAGAAAGAGAAAGAGTTAGCACCACTGATCTTCCACACAGTCAAAATTCTACATGTAACTTTCGACTCCCCCCCAAACTGAACTCTGAATGGTTTACTGTTGACTGGAAGCCTTACCAATAACATAAACAGTCAATCATCACATTTTTATGTTATGTATAGTATATACTATATTCTTAAAATAACATGAGCTATGGAAAAGAAAGTGTTACCAAGAAAATAATAAGGAAAAGAAAATGTAGTTATTATTCATTAATGGATCATGGTAAAGGTCTTCATACTCACTATCTTCACATTGAGTAGTGTGAGGAGGAAGAGGAAGGGTTAATTTTACTGTCTTGGTGACAGAGGTGGAAAAAATGTACATGTGAGTGGACCCCCACAGTTCAAACCTGTGTTGTTTAGGGGTTAACTGTATAGAAAATAAGAGTAAATATTGATAAATTTCTACTGCAAGTTGGTTAGACTGAATCTAATATTTAAAAAACTTAAATTTTACGTGTATTTAGTTTTTCTAGTAATTTATTGTATTTATTAAAGTATCAGTCTGTGAGGGACTGTAACTAACAGTGTATCCTTCACCATAGATAATTTGAAATGCACTGCTCTGGTATGATCTGAAATTTCCTGATAGAGACCTGGATCCTTTCTGACTGCCCTAAGATTCAGCACATATGAACTGTAGTTGTGCTATTTGATTTTAAAGTTTGCATTAAAAAATTTCAACTATTGTTACAGGAAAAAAAGATTAAAAATTCCTTTTCTTTTGGAGTCTAGGGGACTTTTTTCCCATTGTATAGAATGTTTTATTGTATGAAATTTACAGATTCGGGAAGAGGACAAAGATCCAGTCTACTTGTACTTTGAAAGTATGATGACTTGTGCTCGAGTTCGAGTATATGAGAGAAAAAAAGAGGACCAGAGACAACTATCCTCTTCCTCCTCCCCATCTCCATCTTTTCAGCAGCAGAGTTCATGTCATTCTAGCCCTGAGAACCATAATAATGCAAAGGTGAGTTTCTTGTTCCATAGTTTCTTTTTAACTTCCAATTCCCTGTTTTTGGTATTAAGATTTACATTACTATCAGAATGATTAATTTACTAATTATCCTGCAGGGCAGGGCAGAGAAGACATATGTGACATGTATGTCAGTTTATTTCTCTGTGTACCTATCGTATGGTATGTCTCTTAGGGTTATTACAAGTGTTATTCTTTCTTGGTTTGGTGCGGTGGCTTATGTGTCTAATCCCAGCACTTTGGGAGGCAGAGGCACGCAGATCAGTTGAGCCCAGGAGTTTGAGACCAGCCTGGGCAACATGGCAAAACCCTATCTTTACTAAAAATAAAAAAAAAAAAAAAAAAAATTAGCTGGGCCTGGTGCTGCATGGCTGTAATCCCAGCTGTTTGGGGCACTGAGGAAAAAGAATTGCTTGAACCTGGGAGGCGAAGGTTGGAGGTTGTAGTGAACTGCAGTCATGCCACTGTACTTCAGCTTAGGTGACAGTGAGACTCTGTCTCAAAAAAAAAAAAAAAAAAAAAAATAGTATTATTCTTTCTTTTCTTTCTTGTTCTTTTTTGTTGTTGTTGTTATGATAATCTTTTATTTATTTTAGAGACATAGTTTTGTTCTTGTCGCCCAGGCTGGAGTACAGTGGCGCAGTCTCATCTCTGTGCAACCTCTGCCTCCTGGGTTCAAGTGATTGACCTGCCTCAGCCTGCTGAGAAGCTGGGATTACAGGCGCCCGCCACCACATCCAGCTAATTTTTTGTATTTTAGTAGAGATGGGGTTTCATCATGTTGGCCAGGCTGGCCTTGAATTCCTGACCTCAGATGATCAGCCTGCCTTGGCCATCCAAAGTGCTGGGATTATAGGCGTGAGCCACTGCACTCAAGCCGCATTTGTACCTAGCACTTAGGGAGGCTGAGGTGAGCTGATCACCTGAGATCGGGAGTTCGAGACCAGCCTGGCCAACATGGTGAAACCCTGTCTCTACTAAAAATACAAAATGTTAGCCAGATGTGGTGGTGGGCACCTGTAATCCCAGCTACTCGGGACCCTGAGGCAGGAGAATCGATTGAACCTGGAAGGTGGAGGTTGCACTGAGCTGAGACTATGTTGTAAGTCATGTATTAGTGATTATTTTGCAGAGATAAAGAGAATAACATTATCTTTAAATGAAGAGGAAAAACAAAGGACATCCAACCAATTTTCTATCCTTCATTTTTCATTGCCTGGAAAATTAACGATGAAAGACATTCATAAAGGCAGCATTAATGCCAGTTCTTCTGAAAAGCTCTTGTATTTTAAAACAGAATAAGGATGACAATAGTTTATTTTATTTTATTTTTGAGGTGAAATCTTGCTTTGTCGCCCAGGCTGGAGTGCAGTGGCATGAGTTCAGCTTGCTGCAGGCTCTGCCTCCCAGGTTCCAGCAATTCTCCTGCCTCAGCTTCCCGAGTAGCTGGGATTACAGCAGCACTCCACCACACCCACCTAATTTTATAGTTTTTATTTCAGATCTCATGATAAGTAAAAACTTTATTACCTATATTAAAAAATTATGTAGTTAAGCCAGGAAAATATCTATATATCTACGAGGAAAAAATTTTAATTGCCTTTTTAGTATATTTTTAAATTCTCTCATAACAATTTTAACAATTTTAATAAAAACTCTTTAAAATAAACTTAATGAGGAAGAGGAAAGACAGAGCATCAAGTTTTTAAAGTAGTTGATATACTACTTTTATTTTATATTATATCATTTTGGATAAAAAACTTCTCTATTTTCCCAGCTTTGAGAAGGTAGGTTTGAGTGAGGCTTTCAGGGACTCCCTATTCTCCAGTTTGTTTAAAATACCCATGAATGAATTTTTAAAAGGTAAACTTTTATCAATAAAGACACAAGAAATTAGTTTTTCAAAGTAAAGTTATTTGTAGCATATAATCCTAATTAAATGCTATGCCATTTGATCCCATTACTTACTGAAACTTGGTTGATGGTAAGATCATTTTCTCAATTTTAAAAAATGGGATTAGGCATCTCTCAAACATGTAGAGAGGCAGGACATTTGAGAATAACACTAATAAGAGTTTCTTGTCCTACTGCCACTGGGCAATTATACATTCTCCCATTTGATGTTGTTACTGTTTACCATGTGTCAAGTAGTGTGCCCGTGTGCTGTGCGATTATATGTACAGTACTGCATATTTTACCATATGAGTTTGGTGGTATTATCCCTGTTGTACACAGGAGGCAAGAAGGCTTAAGTTATATTGCTAGTAAGCAGTGGAGCCAAGATTTAAGACTGAGTATACTTTACACCAAAGGCTTTTTTTGTTTTGTTTTGTTTTTTAAAGAAAAAGGCCCCCAAATCCATTTTGTTATCCTTATTGTATACTGTGAAACCTGAAAGACTCAATCCGACATTTGCTTGAGCCACATAATGCTATCTAAGTGGTTATATCCTCTGCTAATGTAAGAGCTGATAAATTTTTAGATGACCAAGTGAACACTTACATATTGTGAAGTGGGAGGTATTTTAGTCCTTCATTACAATATGCAGTTGTTAACGGCATTTAAGTTTCTCATGTCTTGCTTCTGTGATTTCAGCTTTTATTATCATTGCTGTTGTAATGGTAACTATGGAGCTATACCAAATTGTTTTAAATTTGCTATTTATCCTCTGTGGCCTGTCTAGGGAGACATTCTACATATATGTAAAATGTAGGTTAGGTTAACATGTGCCTGGTATATTTTAAGTACCCTGTAAACACTAGCTTTCATGATTATCTGCCCAGACCAAAATCTGCTGTTAATACATCAACTACATAGATGAAATGGAAACTGCCATTATCCTACAGCTCTTGCTTCCTTGGCAACAGTGTTCTGGGTCATAGGGTGGTGTCTGACCCAAGATGAACCATTCAGATTCCTAAGGATTTTAAAAATTGTAACTAAGTGCTGCTCTGCTTTGTCTATGGAGTAGCCTTTTTTTTTTTTTTTTTTTTTTTTTTTTTTTTTTTTTTTTTTTTTTTTTTTTTTTTTTTT